GCTGGCTTAAAATTTCCGTTATGAAGCAAAACTGCTTTCACTGTTTTTGCTTGAATCGATGAACAAGCGCCATTCATCGGGCACCAATTCAATATTAAGTTGTAAAAAAAGTTGACCTAGATTGTTGGAAGAGTATAAAAAATTTTCGTAAGAGAATAAATTTTTAAACGATACTCTACGGAATCGGTATGAAGTTCGAACTCCATTTTTTAAAATTTTAAAATCATTAAGCCTTGAGGCTAAAAATTAGGACTTTCTTTTTGAAAGTTGTAAATTTCTGGTTATGTCATTTAGTTGCTCTTTTGACATATATGACGAATCCTCTTCGGGATGATACTCAAGATCAATATTGTCATCGTCCTGGCAACGTAATTTTTCCAGCTGCGAACTATTAAAAAAAGGAACTGTTGTATGCATATTATATTTTACCGGATAAACAACCGACGAAATTTCAGGATAGCGAATTTTCTACTTATTTGTTAAACCCAAATGTAATAATCGAGTAAAAATAACAATCCAACGAATGATTTCTTGCTACGTGCCAAAATGCAGGTTTCGAATAAGGCAAATATGACCGTTTTCCATTTACCCACGAATTAAAAGAATTATAACATGTTTTACATATGTAATTAGGGGCAAATGGTTTATCCACGCAGAGTGGAACATTGTAATAAATTTCATAAATCCTTTGAATGATTGGAGAAATTGGAAATTTTTGTGCGGGCAATATATAGCCCGTAGATGTAACAAAATTTAGAGACATACTTTAAACAAGGGGACCTCGGCATTAATTTTTTGTAGAATATTATATAAGGAGGGAATTTGAATAATATTTAAAATCCAATTTAAAAAAAAATTAATGAAAGAAATTAAATGTTTATGAAAAATTAAGCGCGAAAAAAATAATTCTTCTCCTTTCTTCCTACTCGTTATTTGGCATTATTATTTATTGCCCATACTACGGGTTCAAGGTACTCCATTGGAAAATCATATATTTTGATATAAATTTATTAAAAAAACAAATATTCTTAAATACATCTAAAAAAGATAAATATTAATAAAAAAATATGAAAAAATTATCAATTATTGCATTTTAAATGAATTTTGCTTCAAAAATGCTCAATTCAAAAAGAGTACAAATTAAAAAAGTGGGTACAGATATCTGATTTTGGTATAAATTGATCATATATTCGTAAAATATTATTAAATACAACTTAAAAAGATAAATATTACCTTAATTTTGCTTTAAAAATGCTTTATGCAGAGAAAATTTAATAAAAGTGTACAAATTAAAAAGTTCGTAAATATCTGTATCAACTTTTTTAATTTATAGATTTTGGTTGAATTTTCATGGCATAGAGTACTTTTGAAACATAATTAGAATTAATATATAATCTTGAGCATATTTGAAGCAAAATTATATAAAATTTATCTTCTAAAGTTAATAATTTTGATAGTAATTTAAATTGAAAACTTAAGATCCCTAAAACAAAATTTTTTACCATTTATCTCAAAAACCAATCTATAAAAAATTTTAAAATATAAGTTTAACACTATTACCAATTTTCAGGGATTTTTATTCGATACTTTTTAAAATATATTTGTATAAAGACCTAAATTTTACCATTTTTGTGATTTCGAAAAGTTGTCTTTATACGTTAATATTTTTAAAACTTGACGTGTAGGGAAAATTTGAAAAAGGATTCGAACCCAGCGTCAAATTCTGCACCAAAACTTGTTTTTATTTTCTTCTCTCATTTTTCTTGTCACACAGTGTAATTATATGTGTACTAAAGCTATTTCGGCGAATAATTATATGAGCGCAAATAGAATGTAAACTCCAGAAGAAGAAGAAATTTTATTGAAGAAGTAATTATTTATTGCATTTTCAAATTTTACTAAGCCAAAAAGAAATATATAGTTATGTCAATTTAGTATAATATTGTATTTATTTGTATAGCGCAAACTTTCTAGTTTATGATACATCATTCTCCACTCCATTTCTCCATAACGTGCCCATAAAATCAAATAGAGACTTATAGCTATGATGTATATCTTTCCATTATAAGGTTTGAATAATATATTCCTCATAATATATATTTTTTTTTCAAATTAAAAAAATTTAATTTCTTAATATAAGAAAAATAAATCCCTAAATTACTTTTTATTTTTTAAAAAAAAAATGTAAATATTCAATTATTATATAAAAAACAAAAGAGGGTTCAATAATTTTTTATAATATTAATATTTATATAATCTATTAGAGGTCGTCAAAGCCGCCCTTGGGCCCGTTTAGGCACTATAACCAGTCCGGGCAAGTTATATATTTTAACAAATTTACTCCGTCCCGCCCAATCTAATAGGATTTATATATAATTCATTAAAAATATTAGTTTAATTCAAAAACTTTTAAAATTATCAAATTTAGTATTAAAATTAAAAAAATCATATTTTTGCTGCAAAAAAGAAATTTGGAATATAATTTTACCGTTTTTTTTTAAAAAAAATTCATTTTTCTTTTGGGATTTTTTAAGAACGTGGCCAAATTTTTAGTTTTAAAAAACTAACTTTTGAATGTAATTGGGTTTTGTACATAGATATTATTTAAAAATATCCACTTTGAAAATTTATTTTAATTACATAAAGAAAGGAAAATAAAAATATAAAATTTCAACATTAATTATTTTTTTAAATTATCTGTAAATCTATATTAAATTAAATATGATTACACTCAACTAATGTTTTTAAAATATTAATTTAATTGTTAATTATTTTACAACAAAGATTATTACTATTATTATTTATAAACTATGAACTCTTATCTAAAAATTAAACATCTTTTTACCTGTAAATATTTATATTACTATTAACCTTTCAACTCTAATAAAAATGCAAAATGTTTACACTTATAAGAGTTTAAACTACTATAAGATATAAAATGTTATTATTTTTATTTTTAAGTAAATAAATTTATATAAAATATTTTAATTATAATAATAAGAGATTAATAATCTTCAAATATAATAGAATACTGGCTGATAACTTGTCATGAATGACGCGGTTGACGAGTAATTAGCTAGTGTGTATATATGGCACTAAGTAAAAAATAAATATATTTTATGAAAATCATTACAATTTAGAAAAAAGATAGGTAAATTTTTGGATTAGATCATGTGAATTAACATGGCCTATCAACACATCAAAATGTCTCATGATATTTATATAACAATCAGAATTAACATGGGAAGAGATCCTGCAATAGCCTGAGATGTCTCTATTACACAAATTTTTTAACTAACATAATCATCATCTAATTTGTTGTGTTTTTTATAAAAAGATATTTTATAATCAGATTTTGATATATAAAAAAAAATTATGATTAGGAAATAAATAATTTAAAATAATTGAAGATCGCTATAGTTGAACCTATTTTAAAACTCTTAAAATTTATTTTTGGAAAATAAATAAATATTAGGAATGTTGTGAAATTTTAGCTTTTTAAAAACTTAATTAAATTAAATTTCATATTTTTCTAAATATTAAATATCAAGATAATTTAATAAAATAAAATATTCTATTTAAAAAAAAACAAATGACAAGTTTCATAATTTATTTCAAAATGCGATTATTTTTTAGCTACTCGGGATATATATTTTTTATATAACTTAAAAAATACAGAAAAATAAATTTTGGAATTGTCTAATATTGTTAGAATAGATGTACAGAACTGAAAGATAACTTGCACTACGAAACTGAAAAAATGTTTATTCTAAAAAGGCTTATCACATATAAAAATTAAATTTTTTTATAGCATGGCTTAACATATTAAATTTTCAAAAGGGTAAATGTAAAGATAATAGACAGAGGCTTTTTGAAAACATTCAAGATTAACAATTCTTTTATCCTAAGACTTCTTTATAACCATTCTTATACAATTATAATGTAGGGCTCTTATTTATTTTTTTTAACTTTTATTATACTTTATTTTAAATCTTAAAAATTGAAGAGTTTTGCAGATTTAATTTAAAAATTTAACTCTTCTAATAAAAAATTCTATATTATTTAATATCAACAAATTTTTTATTATAATTATAATATTAATTATAATATTAAAAATGGCTTTAATTATTTACTTTTCAAAAAAAATAATATTGAACTTAATTTGATTTGTAAGTTAGGTGAAAAATTTAAATTATAGAAATATCATTTGGAGAGAGGGTATAGGAGGAAATTTTTTATTAGATGAAATGATCTTTACAAGAAGAATAAGGTTAGAATTTTTTCTTGCCCCCTCTCCCTGCAATGCTCATGACGCGAATTCGAAAACATCACAATTTTAAATATTAATTAATTACAAAATGGTTAAGATTCAAATAGAATATATTGCTTATAGATTCAGATATATTTTTTGGTAAAATAGCAAGGATTTGGACTTGACAAAAATTTTGCTGAATCCGATAAGGACAAATTTCTTTTAAAAAGTAGGATGTTATGGGTGGAATCAAGTGTTAATAGAAATGACTATTAAATTATGCAAGCTATCTATAGAATAGAATGAGGCATGCAGTTTTATTTTATTAAAATAAAAACAAATTAAGTTTCCAATACCTATTTTTGAGAATCTAGAAATTTTACTATAATAGTTGTTTTTTGTGTAAGAATTTAAATAAAAAAAATAGAGTAGGCGTAATCGAATATATTTTTTACTATGGTTTTGTATAAATCAAATTTTAAAATTCCTAAAATTCATAAACACGATGTCTAGAGTAGAATTTATAAATTTAAAAAACGCCGTTGGAACGTTCACAAAATTACCTCTCTATAATTTAAATAATATATTTATTTTATTTTAATTAAAAATTATTCTTCATATTATTACAATAATAAAATATATCTAATATAACAAGTCATATATTAAAAATGAGTGTAAATTTTAAAATATCGATGGCTCTAAAAAGAGCTTATAGTAAAAAAGTACCTAAAAACATGTATAATTATGTTTAAAAATTTTCTAATTGTATTTTTTGTTTTAGGAAGGTTGACTCGCGTTTTTCGTTTGTTATGTTAAAAATTTTACGTGCTAAAATTTTTAAAAAAGAATATGTTGATTGGGAGAAATTACCATTAGTTGAGATGACTATGGGTTGAAAAATAAAATTATTTAATATTGAGTATTTATTGATTTTTTTATTTTCGCCATTAGTAAGAGGATTTGAATTAATTGATGAGGGAAAGGAAGAGACACAGGTAGCGTCCCAGATTAGGGATTTCCCATTGGACCAAGGGATGCAGGTTAGACCGTCAGGTCTGAGGCCATCTTGTAGAGAGAGGTTTGTAGGTTCTAGAATGTTAGGAATTTTAGCTTTATTAAGAGCGTTATGGATGATTTTATTTATAGCTTTATGCCGGAGGTGGCGACCTTGGCTACGGGAGCAGTTTAGGCCGTGTCTTGCGTTTGGTTGTACGGGAAGGTTGCAAAGGTGGCAAGTGTGTAAATGTGTTAGCGAGCATCCTAGTCTGAATCCTATGGTAACTCTCAGTTGGTCATTGGTTAAGAGATTATCAAGGGTTAGGCTAGGAAGTGCCTCGAGCCATTCATATCCGCCATATTTATCGTTTAATTGAAGTAGTTGAATATCGCTAATATCGGAGGGGTTAAGATTATTTTGAAGTTTCTTTATAAGGGGTTCCAAGATTGATTTATTAGAAATTTCGGTTGGGAATGTTTGATCGTCTGGGGTTAGTAGATTCCATTTTTCGATTGCTACTGTTAAGAGATCGTCATTGGGAGTTATAAAAGATGAGATCGCGGAATTGAGCGAAAGGCGATTAGAGATAAAAAGAGATAGGGAGAGTAATTCTAAGGGGATTAGGTCGATACCGCCTAGTTTAGCGGGTAATTGAGCAAGGTGCCAATTAAAGTCTGATAGTGGAAGATTAAGGATCCTTTCCATTAAGGTCTTTAAGCGAATATTATGCTTGGTGAAAAATTCTGAGGAGGTAAATGAGGAGGATGAGTGGAAGAGGTGTGAAATTTTAGGTAAATATAGGCACTTTTTTAATAGATAAAAAAGTTGGTGCGATGGGATATGATTGATGAACTTTTCCAAGTTTTGCAACTCGAAGAAGGTTTTATCGATAGTTTTTTCCGAGATTTTATTATTTAGTAGTGGGGAGCCCAAGAGTTGGATATCGTCGATTTCGATAATATTGTAATCTTTAAATGAATCTAGGGGAATCTCGGGGTTGAGTATGCAGATTTCTATTTTGGTTTTGTTTAACTCTAGGCCTATTTTGGGGCATTCTCTTTCGAGGTGGAAGAGGGCTTTGCTTATTTGGTGTTGGTTACCGCAGAGAGTGCCATCGTCTAGGTACCATAAATTAAGGTCTAGATCAAAATCAGATTTGAGATCTTTCATCATATTATGGATGGCTAAGCAGAAAAGTATAGGGCCTAGGGGGTCGCCCTGCTGAACACCCTCTTCTGAGTATATAACGTAACCATTGAAAATGAGGGGAGTGCTATTGGAATACCAAATGTCAACTATGCGCGAGTATTGGGGGAAATTATCGTAAAACGATTCGAGAGCAGAGGAACGGGATATAGTATTGAAGGCGTTTTTGAAATCAATTTTGCAAAGAACGGAGTTTAAAGGAGGATGTTGTAGGTAGATTCGGAGACAGTGAGAGGCTATATCTACGCCTCCTTTTGTTCCGCAGCCTAATTGGTAATTGCCAAGCAGGGAATGAGTAACGGTTTTTATTTTTTTTGCGATGATTTTAGTAATCAGGCGTCTGAAGAAAGAACCGATAGCTATTGGGCGGATACCACCTTTCGGCTTTTCAAATGCAATCAAGTTAGCTCCAAATATTATTTGATGAGCTAATGTGGGGATATCTCTAGTGATTATATTATTGAGGAAGGATGTAAGTGAGTTAAAAAAACTATTTGAATTGGGAGATTTTAGGAATGTTTGGAAGTAGGATGGTCTATAGCCGTCAGGACCTGCTGCTGAAAATTTATTAAATTCGTTTATAGTGTCACGTATATCTTGGTTTGATATTGTGAGAGGAGGAATATTTGGCGGAGGATTTGGTAAGCTAGTATAAGAAGCTCGTGGATGGAGAGATTTTAGGTTTTCAAGAGTCGCATCATTAGATGGGGCTAGTTTTGATTGTGAGGAGATTAATTTTTGGGCTCCGCAGACGTCACCTTCATTTATTTTTTTGGAAATTTTGTCACAGGTTTTAATGAAACTTTCATTGGAATTATTGGGATATTTGATGTGTTCAAGAGGTGTTAAGTAATCTATATTTTTAAGTCTGTCTTTTATAATGTTAGGTAGTGAAATAGATTTTTTATCTTTTGGGATTGAGAGACATTTAAAAGGGAAAGTGAATAGATTATTCCAATGATTTGTGTTTGACAAATCTGAGTTAATATTATCAAATAATTTGGTGAGATGGTCTGTGATAAGGTAGTTAACACTGGTTGGGATGTGCTTAATTGTTGGTGATTTATTAATAAAGATAAATTCTTCTAGTGATTTGTAATTTACTTGTATGTGTTTGGTATTTATTGGGGGTTCTATAAGTTTTGTGCAAAGTGTGTTAGAGCCTGAGCAAGGGAGGGTTGTAGGGCCATGTTTGTAAAGATGGCCATCCTTTTTTATATTTATTAATTTATGGCAAGTTGGACAGATTCCTTTCATGGTAATGATGATGGGAAGGATTGATATTTAAGGTATTTGTTTATTTAAGTCAGAAACATAATTTTGCCTTAATATATGTAGCCTTTTCTTTAAAGTCATAATTTTATAGCTCCTTATTATAATTTGAGAGTCTTATTATTGCCAAGTTTTGGTTTATGAATCTGATTTGAGTTTTTGAATTTTGGATAATTATTTTGTACTCAGATATTAAATATTTGAATGTTTATTAATCAGATTTATCAAATTAGTTTTTAAGGGTTTTTTTAATTAAGTGATAAATAATTCAATTGCTTATTAATATTAAGGCCATTAAGAGCTGTAAGGATTTTGATAAAATTGTATTTCATAGGGTAAAAAGAATATATAATTTTGGAAGATATAAGAATAATATTGCTGCTAAAACTACTGTGATAAAATGATGATGTAAAATTAATAATTCCTGAATCTTTTTGATGGATATAAATTTTGGAAGATATTAAAATAATATTGCTGCTAAAACTGTGTTAAAATGATGATGTATTAATGTTTTCTGATTAGCTCTTTTTTGAAACCAAATTGGAATTTTCATTTTTGTATTCATATAGATAATCGTATGATAAATTATATATTTAAGTTCATTTATTACCTTATAGGGTAGGAAAGCCCTTTGTGTGAAATAAAAATGTAGCAGTCATAAGATTTCTTATTATCCATAAACACTTTGGAATGAAATTAACACGAGAATTGGAAAATTACCTCGGGTAAACTGAAGAAGAGCATGTAATATTAAAATTTGTTTTATAAACAATAAAATGGTCATTTTTTGCCATTGAATAAAATTAGTTTTGAAATGTTTGTCCTGCATCCCTTGGTCCAATATAATGAATCTTTTTGATGGATATAAATTTTGGAAGATATTAAAATAATATTGCTGCTAAAACTGTGTTAAAATGATGATGTATTAATGTTTTCTGATTAGCTCTTTTTTGAAACCAAATTGGAATTTTCATTTTTGTATTCATATAGATAATCGTATGATAAATTATATATTTAAGTTCATTTATTACCTTATAGGGTAGGAAAGCCCTTTGTGTGAAATAAAAATGTAGCAGTCATAAGATTAATTATATTATTAAACTATAATTATATTATAAGTGAAAGAAAGGATTTTATAGGAGGAATAAATACATTTTATATTAATCACTTTTGTCTGCCCATGTATTTAGTTGCCATATACCGGTTGCTGAATACCTTAAAATACCCAGATTGAAACGAAGTTGCAGTTGGTTCTTTTCAAGGAATTATAAATAATTTGACTTTGAGAATAGAGGAAAACTGATATTTAGCCATGAATCCCAGTTTAGTGAGACTTTCATTTCTTCGTTCGACACTGTTTTTTCGGGTATAATTTTAGTTTATTTTTATCCCAAGATAGGATATTATACTTACACATGTAATTATAACACCAATGCTCTAATATTCTTATCCGGTCAAATTTTCTAAAATTGATGAATTATTTATAGACAGGAGATTTATTTTAGTACCGTTACTAATTTTCTACCTGGCAAATAGTAAAACTCTTAAATCTAAGAATTAGCAAAATATAGTCTCAAAGAACATCATTCACAGCATTCATCACGTTAGCTAATTGATTAATAACGCTATGCAAGTTCCGGGTAGAGGATGATGAATTCTCAGTATAATTTGATTAAGAATGATTAGTAATAATTATAATGATATAGTGTTAAAAAAATTTAAATTTTAATATTTTATGAAAGGAAGGCTCAAGTCAGTCTCAGTGACGCAACCTACCATAATTCAAAAAAAATCCATTTCAAAAGAAAATATTAAAATCACAAGTGAGATGGCATATAAATTCATTATTAGGAGATTAACAAAAGAATTAAAATGGCTAGAGTATTTAAATGAGATCGAGATACTCGGAGTAAAAATCTTACACGAATTTAGCTTCCAGCGAAGTACGTAAAATTATGTCGAACTTTTTGGAATATCTTTTGGTCAAAAGTGTTAATATAGTACGTCGAGAATATATAGATGGAACACAGTATAAATAACACAAGCAATGAAGAAGATTACCATGGGTTAGGTTTTAGCCATTGCCGCAATTATGGAGTTTACATGAGCCCCCTACAGCCCTTTCGCTACCTCATTGATAATTGAGTGATACAGCATTAATGGTAAATTTTTTATCAATCTAAATTACTGTCAGAAACCACATCATAGGAGTAGTCGGGGGGGGGGGGGTAAGGGGAAATTTCCCCTCCCTTCAGAAATTTATTAAAATATCTTCCTTAGTCCACTCCCTACTCCCTGACCCTCAAATGTATGCATATATCTTAAACAATAATTTAAAAGAAAGAATTTAAAAGAAAGAATTTAAAAGTTGATATTGTTTTAAATTAATTCAACATAATTTCTACAATTTAGGTATAAAGCATTTATATATAAAAAAAGTGAACCAAAAATGTTTTTAAAGAAAAGGATTATAAGCCAAAGATAGTCTTAAGACAAAAGTGAAATGTATTATAATTATAATAATAGAACCATAAATTTACTATATAAATTATAAATTTTTATAAAGTGAGTAATTTTAATTTATTTATCCTAATTGTTAATATGACTGATTTATACTAACCTTTAAATTGTTTTTTTTAATGTTGATATAAATTGATTTTTTTATAAATTGATAGATTTTTATATAAATTTTGATATATTTTGTTATATAAAGCAGATTTTTTTAGTTTAAAAGAAAATGTAAAATTTAAAAATATATTGTATAAAATTTAATAATTTATTTAAATAAACGATTTTTATATAAACTCGTATCATCACTACAAATCTTCTAAATTTATAAATTGATAGATTGATTTTTTTTATATAAATTTTGATATATTTTGTTATATAAAGCAGATTTTTTTAGTTTAAAAGAAAATGTAAAAATATATTGTTTAAAATTTAATAATTTATTTAAATAACCGATTTTTATATAAACTCCTATCATCACTACAAATCTTCTAAAATACTTATTCCCAATAATAATGATGTTAATATAAATATTGAATTTCCAATATACGCAGGCAATGGTGATCTTTTTTTGAGTAGATTTGAAGACATCTTCAAGGATACTCAGATTTCGGACATCGATAAAGCGGGTTCCTTCACAAGAAGATTACCAGATGAGGTATATATCAAGCTTAAATTGATATGTACACCTACCGACTTCATCAATCCATCGATATTGATTGAAAAATTTAGGTTATTACACCCGAGGAAATCTACAAGTTCCAATATTATTATTTAATGCAGCTGTACAAGGTAAAAACGAAAGTTACATCGATTGGGTAAGTAGATTATGCATTTTAAAAAATGAATGTTTGCTAAGTGATAGTAGAGTTATTGAAAAAGTAAAAAATTTGTCAATCAGCAAAAATATTAGGCAGAAAATTACGTTAAAAGAAAACATTACATTAGAAGAAGTTCTTACTTTAAAAGATTATTTTGAAGAGTTAGAATTGAAAGAAAATATAATTGCTAAAGTTGAAAATATTTCAAGATGATACAACCGTGAAACATGTAGAAAGGCAAAGAGGCAGGAAAACAGAAGAAAATAAACAATTGGTGAGATATGGAGACCATGATGAACGACAAAATTTACAATCTAATTACGATAGCAGATAGCGATGGACAGCAAGAGGCCATGACATTCAAAGAAATATTTATTAAGGAAATAGTTATAACCCCAAATATCAAGGAAATAATTACAACCTTAGATATCAGAATTATAACGCGAATTATTACAACAACGTCAGAGCAAACTATCCAGGATCGTACAATAATTCTTCGAGATTTGATAATTGAGTAATTATAATAAAAATGACTATAATAATAATAGATTTAATAATGATTATAATTACAGATATAACAGACATTATAACGATTCAAGATGTATTCAAAGATATAACGATAATCATAATATTGGAAATCGAGGAACAAATCAAGTGTGCAATTGTAAATATCATAACAACGACAATAATCAATCACGATATACAAATAAAGTAAACACTGTAAATATAGAAAAGATAAAAGAAGATGATAATGACCAACTAGAAAGAAAAGTATATAAATACAATTTAGACATAAACAAACCGATAATAATTACACAGCTAACGATGCTTATAAGGTCACGCTATATTTGAACGACATGCCTATTTTGATGAAGATTGATACCGGGTCGAGGTTTAGTATTCTACCGATTCATATCGCGAAAAAGATTGGAATAAAAATCTTAAATAAATCAGATATTAAATTAACTGGATATGATGGAAACACAATAAATGTATTAGGAACTACCAAGGTCAAGGCAAAATTCGAGGACAAAAGTCAAATCTTAACTGCTTATGTAGTCCAGAGTGATAAGATTGCACTGTTAGGAAGGACTTGGATAACAGTTTTTGGGAATATATTAGATAAATTTGTGAATATTGTCGAAGATGATTATGATAATACCATAAAAGAATTAATCAAGCAATGCAATTTTAAACTTAACAAAAAACCAATGCTACGCAGCTATGTCAAATTACGTTTAAAACACGATGCCACACCGAAAATCATACCGCCAAGGCGTATACCATATTCTAGAGTTGTTTTGATAACAAAAGAACTTCAAAAGTGGATAAACGATAAAATTATTGAACCCGTTGAAGATGTTAGATGGGCTAGTCCTCTTACTCCCGTTTATAAGAGCGATGGCTCACATAGGCTCTGCGCCGACTTCAAAAATACTATCAACTGCTTTACAAGATTTCAAGTACCCTATACCACGTATAAATGATTTAATCGCTAAATTATCTAAAGGTAAAAAATTTACCAAGATAAATTTTAAAAACGTGTTTCTCCAAATACCCATACACAAGGAATCAAGAGATTTTCTTACGATATCGACACATAAAGGTTATTATAGGTTTACGAGACTACCGTTTGGTTTAAAAACTTCGTCGGCA